TTAGTCTCCCAAGCTGCTGGGATTACAGGCGTGCATCACAGCGCCCAGCCACTTCATATTTTATTTTGAGATAGAGTCTTGCTAAAATTCTGAGGCTGGCCTGGAACTTGCAATCCTCCTGCAAGTCACTTATAGATATGCACCATGGCACCAGGCTTCTAAATTTTTCTTCTGTACCGTTGATGTTGGAACATCAATAATATTTTTTGTCTCTCTAGTAAGTTGTAAGCCCTTTGAGGGTAGTAAAGGCATATATATACTTTGTCTTTGTGTTCCCAGTATGTTTCAGTGCCAACAATTCATAAACACTTAATATAAAATTGATGGATTAATGAGTGAAAGATGGAGAGAAGTGGATTGGATTTTCTCCTTCCTTATGTTCTTCCAAACATTATTTATTCCTTGCCCCTCCTGGAGCTCATAGCTCAAAGTTACCCTCTTACCCACCTCCCGTGAGCAAACTTGTGAGATACCATCTGGCTTTCTCTTTACCACATTCAGGGTGTAATTGATCCAGGGCACCAGCTTGACAAGGGTAAGGAAAAGGACATGGGTGGAAGACGTTCTGTTCCCTGTACCGGTACTTCTGCCCTGCCTGGGTCTGAGCCACTTGGCTCAAGCCTTCCTCACCATGTCAGTGAATCAAGCTGGAGAGAATATGTCCTTGGAGGTACCACAGTGCTAAAGCTTCTACTTTCATCTCTGGTGTTAAGTTGCTTCTCAAAGGACTCAGTTTGATGATGTGGAAATTTGAAAATTGTGTATTTAAATATTGACAAGTGGCCAATAGTGATGTTTAGCAAATTTACAGTAGAAAGTGAGAAGGAGCCTAGGTGGAATACCACCTAATTCACTGACTCAATCACAAATGATTACCAAGAGATTCCTAATGATTCAGTGATGAACAAAAGAATCATCTACCTTAATGGAGCTTACAGGAGGGGGAAACAGCAACAGAATAAAATTCAATTGTTTCATAGCACTTATAATGTGCTAGGCACTTTACATATATTAATTCATTTCATTATTTTAGCTCAGTGTAGTCCTCTTATTATTACCATTTACAAATGAGTGATAGGATGTATTTTATAGTTATAAACTGATAAGGAGGCATGCAGGGAATATAGGGGTTAGGGAGGAAGCACAGCAGGAAAACCTATAGTCCTAAAGGGCAGGGAAGATTCTTTGAATATGAGAGGTGGAAATGCAGATCTAAGGGGTGAGACTAGTAGACAAAAATGTCTGAAGGAAAATAACTGCAGGCAATGGAAACAGCAGATGAAAGATGTTCAAGGAACTGAAAGGAGGAAGAGCCTGGGATGAGGCAGGAGAGGCAGGCAGGGGCTAGATCCCTTAGGTTTATTTCTCTGTCTTCAAATAGTATGAGGTCAGGGAAGCAGAGAGAGTTGAGATTTTTTTTATTTGAAAGCAAAAACAAGAAAGCAAAAACCAAGAGGATGGATCAGAGCACTGTAGTATCCCAATGGTTGTAACTCTCCAATTCTAGGTCTGCTGGAAGGAACTGCCCTCTGTAGATTAAGTACAAATGACAAAGAATATTACACACAATGAATATTGCTGTGAGCATAATTTGTTCCCCTCACTTGAAAGGAAGTGTGAATTGCTGAAATAAGCAAAACAAAGGTAAAAATTGTCAAAGGACAAAACCATAACAATTTGATGATTTATTTTTAATTCCAGAATTGGGCAACACTTCATTCCATAAAGTAGAATAGTGTTCCAACAGGCAGGGCAAAGGAAGTTGGTTCTATAGAGGAGGGCTTGAAGAAAGTAGAAACAAAAACTAAAGTAAATAGCTCCTTTCAGTTATTTTTCTTATAAGAGGAGGACAGAGAGAAAAACTATAATAATGACTAATAAATCAACATGAGGTTACTTATTTGGCATAAGGGTTAAGGCAGAGGGAACTTCATTACTGCCAATTAAAACTGGCTTGTTGGGCTGAGGATGGAGCTCAGTGGCAGAACACTTCCTTCGCATGTGCCAGGTCTTGGGTTCAATCCCCAGTATTGCAAAACAAAACAATAACAACAACAACAAAGAAACACCCTGGGCCTATGACTGTTATCTCTAATCCAGATTCCTAGGAAGGACAGATAAACAGCTTAGCTCTAGCTTGGTGACCTGGAACTTTAACATGAATAACACAGTTTTGATATTCAGCCTGGTCTATGCATCAGGTTAATTTACAACAATGACCTCCTGTAATTTTTATGTAACAGTTTTTGGAGCATTTATTGTGCTTCAAGATTGAACCAGGCACTTTTAGATAAATCTCCCCACAAATGTCCCACATTACAAATACAAAAGCAAAGGCCTCGAATTACATAATTTTTATAAGATCCTCTCCATCCAAATTTGTCTGGCCTACTGAGCATTCCCCCTTGAGTTTCCTGTTGTCAGGTGTGTTGAGCAATGAGTCTCTCTGGGTTTGCTCAGTGGTTGAGTTGGAACTGGAACCCAGGGCTGACTCCAAAACTCATGGTGTTGATGACCCTTTAATGGTGCCTTACCTTCTTAAAACAAGAGACAACTCCTAATTCTATAAATAACATGACATTGTCTCTTCAGGTCCTTTCTGGGTGAGGAAAGCGCTTTTTATAGCTTGGGATTGCTTCTGTTTTCTTGGTCTCTTCCAGCACCAGTTAATCCTACCCAGTTTTGTCCTTCACTGTCCTTACACTGACTGTATTCCTAGTTTTCCTCCTTGCTAGACAACTAACTCCATGAGACCACATGGTATTGGTCTGTGTATGCCAGCAAAGAAATTTCACTCCTCCCCAAGTCTGCCTACCTTTCTATAAATAATCGTTCTCTTTCCTCAGGCCTTTGAGTAGTTTGGTCACCTAACGCAGGCGCTCGCGCGCGCGCGCGCACACACACACACACACACACACATACACTCACGCGCGGCAGGGGGTTGGGTAGTGGCAACATAAGTGACCTTGCAAAGGTATCTAGCCCACTGGGGACAGAATTAGCAAACCTGAAACCTCTGCAAATATTTGGCTTCCTCCCACATTCCTCCTGAAGCTGCTGAATCCCTCGCGTCGACCTCACCCAGTACCCTTTTAGCTCGCTCGCCATACAAAGCCCAATCCGCCCATCTCTTCTTTACAAACCCAGAGAACTTCATTCCCCATGTTGAAACTCGGCGGTGGCGGTGGCGGGCAGGACTGGGCATGCTCAGTGACAGGGACAGGTCTGGGAGGCGAGGAAGCTAAATTTGAAGTCGCGCGGCCCAGGGATCAGGGGGAGGTGGGCGGCTGGGGCCCCGGCTGGGGGTGCACGGAGACCCCAGATTCCGTGCCCAGGGACAGCATGCTCCAGGCAGGCGCTGCAGGGCGGGCGCGCGAAGGGGAGGGCGTGGAGGAGGTGGGGGAGTCAGCGGGAGGAGGGGAGGAGCGCTGGGCTCGCCATCCCCGGGCGCCGGCTCTGCGGCTGCTGAATCGGAAGCCGCAGGGAGGATCTGAGGAAATAAAGACGACCGAGAATGACCTCCAGGGAGGCCGCTTGAGCCGGGGCCCGCGCGCTGTCCCGCCAGCCCCAAGCATGGGCGACCGCGGCGGGCAGCCGGAGCGCTCAGCCTCGCACACCCCAGGGGCCCCCGCGGGCACCAGCGCAGCCCTCGTGAACGGGCTGCTGCACAACGGCTTCCACCCGCCTCCAGTCCAGCCGCCGCTCATTTGCAGCCGGGGCCCCTCGGACAGCGGCGACGCGGCGCCCCCACGCCTCCCGCTCCCGTCGGAGCTCCAGCCACAGCAGCTGCTTGCTCAGCATGACTCTCCGGCAAAGAAATGCCGGCTGCGGAGGAGGATGGACTCCGGGAGGAAGAACAGGCCGCGTAAGTCCCGCCCGGAGGGGAGCATCAGCGCGAAGTAGGCGCAGCGCGCTGGGACCGGGAACGGCGGGAGCAAGCACCGCAGTGCATTCTGTGCGCCCCAGCACCCGCGGTCCAGGGACTGCACGGAGGGAACGCTCGGGAATGACTCTTTCCCCAGGGGTGCCAACCATTGATTGAGCCTGCTTCTTGTTTGGTCCTGTCCGCATAATGGGCCGACTGGACATGGTCTGAGCTGCTCCTTAGGTCACTGCTCTATAAAAGGCGAACGCACTGCCCACCCTTCTAATTGGTCCCTGGGAATTGCACGCCTGTGAGCAATTGGTGGAGTCCGGGAGTAGGGATAGAGCGGGCGCATCTTTCTGGGATTGCAGCTCGGACGACCAGTTAGCCCTTTGAATCAGAGAGTAACTGCCAGTAACTTGGGTCTACTGGGGAGCTCAAGTCTGGAGGCGTGGAGTTGAACAACCCACTCCCCCCAAAATTACAGCGTATCAAACTCTTTTCACAGCCAATAAGAGGGCCTGTTGGGAGGGACACACCTACTGATACCATGTGGGCTGGAACTATGTGGACCAATGAGGATTGCAGGTGGATTTTTTTTTTTCTGGGAAGAAGGTGGGTAGAGTTATGGGTTTATAATTGTAGTGTACAGTGCAGAGAGCCGAAGTGCGTTATTTCACAATCGGTAACTTGTATATATAATGGTAGTTTGTAAAGGGTACCTATCCCACTGGACGTTCTGGGAGGTAAATTTGTAGGTCGAGTTTACGACTTTTTTCTTATCTGAGCCGAACCTCATTGAACTTGTTACCTCTTTTGTCTTTAATGAAGCTTATAAATGGCAGAAAGCAAAGTAAGTAGAATGCATGCAAGTAAATGATTGCATTCAAACTTTCATCTTTTGCACATGATTATTCTTGGATATAGGAAAGTTGTTATATAGATTTTGGATTTCTTTTCGCGGTTTATCTTTTATTGTCTCCTTTTGACTCAACTTTTCTGCATTGAATTAAAGTTTCTAAGACTTTGAGAAGTCTTTTAACGTGACTTTAGGTGAATCCAATGATTGTATTTTATAGATCTGAAATGTTAAGATTGCAAGTTAAAGTTTTCTGTGGAGCTTTGAAACTGCACAGCAATTGTAGTTGTAGTTGTAAGAAAGGCATGTTGCACCTAGATTTTTCGTTACTTTTGTTTTTGATCCTTGTTAGAAAATGAATTTCTTTTTATGGACTTAATATCGATTGCTTATGGTTTATTAATCTGTTTTACTTCTTTTGAAACCACATTTTAGTTATTTCTCTGATCTATATTTACAAATATAGAGATTGCAACAAAAAATAGCTAAAATATAATGAAAGAGAACTGCATTGAGTTTTTTGTTTAGTATTATCAACTCTAATTTTTTTTTGTTTTGGGTAGTGGGGATTGAACCCAAGGGCAATTAACCTACTGAGCTACATTCTCACCCCTTTTTATTATTTTACTTTTTCATTTTGAGACAGAGTCTAGCTAAATTGCTTAAGGCCTTGCTAAACTTTTGAGGCTGACTTTGAATTTTCAATCCTCCTGCCTCAGCCTTCCCAGACTCTCCAATTGCTGGGATTACAGGTGTGTGCACTGCACCCAGCTCAAATGGTGTGTTTGAGGATACACACCTCTTAAAATAATTTTTAAGGAATTTAAAATATGACAAGGAAAAATCTGTGCATGTTTAATGTAAATGCACTTTCTTTTCCAAATATTTTTGTTCTAGAGTGGGTTAAATACATGCACCCATACTCTTTGGGTCAAGTAAATAATAGCTTGTAGACAAAAAAAAACTAACCTACGCCTTAACTTGGTGCTTTAAACCAATAGGAATTATTTTAATACACAAGAAAACATAACTTACTGCTGTGTGCTTCGTGTCAAAAACCAAATTGGTGTATTTCTTACAAAAATAAAAATATTCTTTTAAGTAGTCATGAGAATTATTTATAGTTTTAAAAGGATTCATCAGATTGGCTTTTCATTATCCTACCATGTTTTCTTTTCTCAGATTTGAACAAACATTTCTAAAATAAAGTTCACAGGGTTCAGGGGAATCACATCTGCACAATTTACTACCAATATTTCTTCTAAAATTGGATTTACATATGTGTAATCCCAGTGACTTGGAGGCTGAGGCAGGAGGATTGTAAGTTCATGGCTAGTCTTTGCAATTTAGCAAGGCCCTAAGAAACTTATACCATATCGTAAAATGTAAAATAAAAAAAAAAGGCTGCAATATAGTTCAATCATAGAGTGCCCGTGGGTTCAATCCCCAGTACTGAAAAAGAAAAGAAGAAAGAAAGAAAGGGTTTAATTTTTTTTACCTTGCCTATTAACATTCATATATCTTTTTATAAAAAAGAAATATTGTTCAATCAATTGGTACTTTGATAAAGAGGCATGTATTTAGATTTAAGCATGTTTCTATTTTCAGATAACAAATTTTACATGAACAATTATTGCAAAAAATAGTTGGGTCCTTTAAATGTGAACTTTAAAAATATGCTGGTGGTAAAGCATCAAACTGGACAAATAATTAATTTTTACTTACTAGTTTACAACATGAAATGCCTGCCCCTATCCAAACTAGAGGCATTAAGATATATTTGTGTGGATAGGTGTATTTCTATTTGTAATAATATGCATTCAAATATTGCAGGTGTGAAAATGATGAATGGAATAATGAAAAACAATTCCATATTTTTAGATTATTTAAAAAATTGAAGCCGGACTGCTCAGTGCAAACTATTCACCATTCTATAATCTAAAAATTGGATTAGGAAGCTAAAGTTATAGCTCAGTGGTAGAGCACAAGTTTAGCCTGTATGAGGCCCTGGGTTCAATCCCCAGCACCTCTCCCAAAAGAAAAGTATGTGAATATATGCATTTGATGTCACAGAAAAAAAAAATGGTACAAGTGACATCATCATCTCATTGAAATAACTATTTCCATTTCTACAGCTGACTTTGGCAAAAGACTTTCCATGGAGTTTCCATAAAGTATCAGTAGGGAGATTCCTTGTCTACTTCTTGCATTGATTCTTTGAAGCACACCTAAATAACACCTCATGGGTCAGTTCGTGTGTCAAATACTTTGAGGCTATGATCATTCTGACAAAGATGCTGTGAATGCCTAATGTGTAGTATAAAACCAGCCACCTAAAGGACTTGGATTTGAAACTCAGCTTGATCATCAGAGCCCATTACTTGACCTTTATGTTTGTTTCAGTACTAATAAAGTGGAGATAATACTACTGCTGTGGAGTTGATGTGAGGACAAAACTAGCTAATACAAGTAAAGAATTTAGATTCCTGTGTGGAATGTAGCCATTATTTATACATGTCAGCTGTCATCACCATCACCACACTAAGTACTGCCCACCCTTAATCCACAGAACATGACAATTGAGCTGGCAGATATAACCTTAAACTGACTTTTTTTTCTTTTCTTATTTTCCCCCCATTAGGGATTAAACCCAGGGGTGTTTTACCATTGAATCACATTCCCCCTCCTTTTTATTTTTATTTATTTTTTAAAATTTTGACGTAGGAGTTCACTAAATTGCTGAGGCTGGCCTCAAACTTGTGATCCTCCTGCCTCAGCTTCCCAAGTTGCTGAGATTACAGGTGTGTGTCACCATGCCTGGTTATGCATCCAGTTTTTGAATTACTAGTTCAAACATTGTAGTTTTGATTCTTGATTAGACTTGGAATATTTTACTGTATTAGAAAGCAATTTTTGTACATAACTCTTTTTTAAATATTTATTTATTCTAATTTGTTATACATGACAGCAGAATGCATTTCAATTCATAGTACACATATAGACACAATTTTTCAGGTCTCTGGTTGTACATAAAGTAGAGTTATACTATTCGTGTCTTCATACATGTACTTTGGTAATGATGTCCATTGCATTCCATCATCTTCCTACTCCCCCTCCCTTCCCTTTAGCCTATCTAAAGTTCCTCCCTTCCCCCCATGATCCGCCCCCATCCCCGTTATAGATCATCACAGAAAACATTCAGCCTTTGCTTTGGGGGTGGTGTACATAACTCTTTCTAATAAATTATTTTCTAAGATAGGTGAATACACTTGACCCAGAGAGTCTGGGTCCATGTATTTAACCCACTCTAGATCAAAAATATTTGGAAAAGAAAATGCATTTACATTAAACATGTACAGATTTTTCTCTTGTCATTAGTCCCTTAACAATGCTGCCTAAAAACTATTCATATAGTATTTGCTTTGTGTTAGGTATTACAAATAATCTAGAGCTGATTTAAAGTATATGAGCCAGACACATTGGCGAACACCTTTGATCCCCACTACTCTGGAGACTGAGGCAGGAGGATTGGAAGTTCAAGGCCAGTCTCCACAACTTAGTGAGATCCTGTCTCAAAATAAAAATTGAAAAATGGCTAGGGATGTAGTTTAGTGGTAGAGTACCCATGGGTTCAATCCTGAGTGCTGCAAAAAATAAATAAATATAAATAAATAAAAGTATACAAGAGAATGTGCATAGTTTATATGCAAATACTGTGCTATTTTATTTAAGGGATTTGAGTGTTGGAGAATTTTGGTATCTCTGAGGAGTCTTGGAACCAATTCTCCCATGGATTCAAAAGAATGATTTTCAAGTTTGTCAAAATTACATTATGAATGGTACAATGTACATTTGAAGTAAGGATTAAGAGTTTAAGGCCCAGGTGTCCAGTGTCTAAGTGTTAAAGATCAGGATTCTGTTAAACGCGTGAACACCACTTTTCCTCCAAAAGACTTGTAAGTGAATTTCAACATTAATACAGAACATATTTTATTTGGTTTGGTAACCAAAGATGGAAGTAATGCTTTAATTCTTAACATATGGGATATTTAACAAGTGAGCAAAACAAAGCCCATCATAGTTTTAGAGACAGAATAAGTAGGGAAAGAAAGAAGTATTGGTTTTAACTGACAGGTTTTTGTTTTTGTAACAGTCTGACTCTTAATATTTTGTGTGTGGTACATGGATTTGTGTGTGTGTGTGTGTGAGTGAAAATACAAATTTCCATAAATAGATCAGGGTTTGACTTATATATTCAATTACATGTGCTTTAGCTTTAACATGAAAGAATGAAAGACAGTATTCATCTTGGGATCACAATATTCTGAATCAGTTATGGAAACTGTTTGGTGTACCCAGTGTGGTGTACAGAATTTTTAAGTAGACCTTTTCTCTAGATAGTGCAGCTGTCAAGATTGATATCTCATTACCTAATTCATGGCATCTTTTAGATGCTTAGAGTTGGTTAGTCACATGTGTGCATGTGTGTGAATGAGTGTGTGCATTTGTATGCGTATTTTCTCCTTGGGAATGTATTTGAGAGCAGCATATGATTCAAAAGGGTGGGACTGTTACTTTTAGAGACAGTTACATTAAATTATGATCTCTGTAGTTTGGAAAGAGGGTG